GGTATCACAATGGCACTCATGTATTCTGTATTTATTTATTCAAATTTTAGCAAGACCACTACAAAATATCATAAATAATAAGTTGGCGATCGATATTTTTCTTCGTGAGCCTGCGATTTTGAGTTTGCACCAATTGTTCACTTCATTTATAAAATTCAAATTGTCATGTCAAAGTCCCCCACTTCCCCTCCCCCTGTCGTCCTATTATTGCGAAGTTTGTAATTTCCCCGGGGTTCACGAGCAGAATACACGGCTAAAATACCAAATTCCCCCTCGTTTCCCCCCTTTTGTCCCGGGGGTGTACCCCCCGGGCAGGCCGTTGATATGTGCATTAGTTTATTTTATTGTATGTATGAAATAATATAGTGACATTCTTTTCCAAAATAATTTCTATATGCACCAGTCATGTTAAGCATGCACCTAGATGGGAGGACAGGCTACCCATGGCTTTGTAATAGACTAATCAAGTAATAAGTAATGCCTGCCCAAGACACAACATTTTTGACAACAATTTTTCCCATTTGTAGACTGGGCAAGTTATGATGAAGCAAATGATGATTGGCAAATTTGATAAAAACCCAAATATTTTTCAGTGTTCAGTATTTAAGTAGTGATTTTGGGTGAAGACCTTCAAAACATCCTGGAGTTTCCAAAAATAATGTTTTTCATTGGCTCCCCTGGAAATATTTTCCAAGAGATTTTTGAACCAGCTCCCCGGAAATGCATAAATAATACAGTTTTTAAGCCAAATATTTGGGTGACAACATTCCTTTGAAATGGATTTTTATGTCCCTCTTTAAGAAGTTCCAAGGTCTTCACCCCTGGGTGTATTGATTAAAAATGCTAGCAAGATTGTTGGTTAATTTAACCTTTTATTTTTGTACTCAAAATTTTCCCCATGTGCATATAGGCATACCAGATAACTTCAGCCTGTACATGCATGGGTTGAGGGTGAATTAATGGTTGAATAAACATTGGACATTTTCACTGACACTGTTAAAATTCTTGAGCCATATGCACCATAGAAGGAACTAATAATGTGTGAGTGTGACAATTTCACTTCCCCTGGAGGTAGAAGTGAGGCTATAGGCCAGAGTGTGAGATGTGAATCTATAGATTCAGGTTTTTGTTTCCTGTAATGTAGGTAATAATAAGCCATTGAATTCTACATCAGCTGCATGTAAAGGCCAGGTCGTGAAGAATTTTTTCCAGCCCCCCAACTGTTTACCTCCAGTTTTTTCAGCACAGATTATCCTACATGTATCAGTGTTAAGCCCCGGAGTGTCAGACAAATAATGGTAAAATATGAACATTTGATAAATGTGGATATATTGAAAAGACTGAAAAATACATTGTTTACATCAATTGTTTGAATGTTATATTTTTCTTCGATTTCTACAATTCAATGTGATTTGCTGTTATAAATCATATTCTATTTTTGCCTCCTCTGCAGGCAACTCTGTATTGTTTGTATAACAGGTTTTCAACTCTTATTTGTTTTGTATTGTAAATGCATTTTGTAAATGATCAAACTTTGGTCGAGCTTCAAGCAAAATAGTGTTAGGCCTGGGGAGAGCAAAACATGGGAGGAAAAAATCTCAAATATAAAACCTATTATACAAAACAATCATCTGGCATTAGACAGAAAATAATAAAGTAGGGTGCAATGTGACTCAATGGGTTAACTAGACACATCATGGGCAGATAGACGAGTTAACCCACTAAGTGCCAGCGCTCTCCCCTTGACAAGTAAAATCGTATAGCATTAGACGGAGTAAAATAATCTGGCGTTAGACAGAGTAAAATAATAAAGAATGTTAGGGTTTGTAATCCAAGTGACTATATACATTTTAAGACCTGACCAGGAACGACTGCGAAAAATGCAGCACAAGGTCCTCTGGTAGGAATTGAACCTACAGCCCTGCGATTCCAGTGCAGCGCTCTAACCAACTGAGCTACAGAGACCAGCTGTTGAGCTGTAACCGTAAGTTCATGTAAATATAGGTAATCGGGTGTGTGGGTTGTGATAAGGTGAACTTGGATGATGTGGTTTCTTTGCACTTCACTTGGTGGAATTAATATTAGAATGTTAGGGTTTGTAATCCAAGTGATTATATACATTTTAAGACCTGACCAGGAACGACTGCGAAAAATGCAGCACAAGGTCCTCTGGTAGGAATTGAACCTACGGCCCTGCGATTAAAATAATAAAATAGGGCGCATTAGTGCACAATGCGACTCAATGGGTTAGAGATGAACAGACGGTCAAGTCTGTTCTGCACATATGTACCTTCTGATGTAAACAATTGGTAACATCAAGGTGTTATACATAGAGTTATACATGGTGGTCAACATTACATGTATCAACACTAATGACTTCGGGAGCGAGCAAATGAGGCTAAATTGCATGTATTCACCAGCAAACATGAGGTCAAGACATATAGTGAAAAATTTACTCACACCAGGAACTGTTTCCTTTTAGAGTTGACCACCATGTGCCGATATGTTGCATCACAACATATGAAAGTAAAGAATACCCAACTTTCACATTGTTTCAGCATCTCATTCAGAAACTCTAATCAAAATTCATTTAAAGAACAGCAACCTGAACGATGTTAATTATGAACTATGTACATCATATTTTTTTTAATATAGCGTGTTTGAAATGTAAAAAACCAACATTCCTCACATTTTATGCTTTTTATCACTATTATAAACAGGGTGCCAGATACGGCTATTAGGGCTATAGTTTCAAATAGTGAAATCTTGACTGATTTCTGCCTAAGTATTTCACAAAATATTAAATACAACGATATCCAGCTGCGCATAAGTTATTATACCATTTACATTTCTTCTAAATCCTTTAGACATGGCTCACATGAGTATTAATTTCTCGGTAATTTCGGAATTTCAATTTTCCACTCCTACGATGAATAATAGTGCCATATAAATCGGTAGATAATCTTCAAAGGTTTTTCATACCAACACATCTTTCAAGGACGAATTATATAAACATGTTAATAACAACTTTAGTAAAGGAAAACTGTTATGAGCAAAATAACAAGTGTTTCTCGTGCCGATTATTTTCTGAAACACTCGGGCGCCATCTTGAAATTTGAGTTCGGGGGGGTGAATGCCTCTCTTTAGCGCACTGGCTAAGCTTTTGGCGGCCGGTTACACTTTTTTGGCTGAGTTCCACCTCTGTGTAGTATATCCTCTGTGACTTGGGCATGTAAATGATGTAATTATGTGAAGTTGTATATTTAAAGTTTCTTGTGTTTACATATGGTTTACATCCGAGTCAGAGAACAGCAAAATGTGATTGCCAAAAGCCTCAAAACCAAATACTGTTGTTACCCAGATACTGCAAACTTGATGTAAAAGGTACTTATATTTGTTTTATAGTTACATGTTTACTGCAAAATATGAAAACTAACGTTAACTTTTTCGTGACCAGCTGTTAAGCTTTTAATAGTGTTGATTGACATATTTTTCATTTCCGCATTAATATATATATATTATATATATTGAGTCAGGTTTATGTGTGCTAAAAAGATGTATTTAAAAAGTATTATAATATACTTGACGCTAAGAACTTGAACATATTACAAAGAAGAGCTAGGGTAAGTGGCCTGTTTCATGTCAAAACCCTTACCCAACCTAAATATGAGACTTGAAAGTGTCAAGCGTGGCATATTTTATCGCAAGATGTTAAAGTATTTTGGCAAGCTACCACACAAGTCAAACTATTATTTTTCACAGTTTTAACCCACCCAAAATATCAATACAAAGCTTTAGCTTCTATATACGACTATGAGCAGATTGAAAAGTAGGGTACTTTAGCAGAAGATCTCCTGTGGGACCAGTTTGCAGAATGTGGCAGAGTGCACACAACTTCACTTTCAAAATATAGCACACCTGGCCTCAGTGCTTCTGTTGGATTGATCCCTATAGGTGCACTTGGGTTAGCTGAGTGAGATAGTGACGTGAAAATCGAGTTGTAAAAAGATAGAGATTAGCAGATGTTTTAACATTTGACAGACAGAAAGACAGAGAAAGTAGATTGATTCTGCACTTGGGAAGTAAGAATTAAGTCGTATTTGGGGGCATACTTCGAAACCCGGACTCAGACTCGAAGAAAATTCGGACTCGAGAAAAACCCGGACCCGGACTTGAAGAAAATCTGGACTTGTGTTTAACAAAACCCGGACTTGACTTTTGAAAACCCGGACTCGAAATAAACAAAACCGGATTCAAAACAAGGACTCTGTGTACGAAAATGCAAAGGTTTTTTGGAAAGGTTTTTTGCCGCGACACCTTCCTTGCCTACAACATGGGATATATGCTTTTCCGGCGTTCTTTTCGATTGGTTGAAGTTACTTTTGATTGGTTGAAGTCTAGTTATTTTTCGTGTCATTTTGCCGATAGTGCGGGTCGAATATGTTGAGGATATATTTTACCCTCACCGCCATCGATCACGTTGAGTCTGCTCGAGATGGTTTACAGACAAGACATTCCTAGCTGCTGAGTCAGATTTCAGTTATTAATTTATGTCTAGGGTATTAAATACATTTTTAAATTAAGTAGGTAAGTAAGTATGTATAAGGCTAAATGATTTGTTTAGGTAGGCTATATAGTGATTATTTTGTGGGGAACCATATAGTATGATAACTGATTAGTAGGCCTCAGATAATGCATAACACTGAGTCACTAGAAGAAAAAAATATCTACATCTTTCGAAACCAAAGCTTATTGCTTTTGAGATAAAATATTTTATTATATACAAAAGCGAGAAGAGAAAGGGGCACCCGCGCAAGAGCACAATCAATCTATCTATCTATCCGCTAGTTATTACCGATAAACCTTTGCATTCTCGTACACAGAGTCCTTGTTTTGAATCCGGTTTTGTCTATTTCGAATCCGGATTTTCAAAAGTCAAGTCCGGGTTTTGTTAAACATGAGTCCAGATTTTCTTCGAGTCCGGGTCCAGGTTTTTCTCGAGTCCGGATTTTCTTCGAGTCCGAGTCCGGGTTTCGAAGTATGCCGTACTTGGGGTGATTTTACAACTTTTCAGGTGTGTACCTGATGATTTCAAACACACACCTCAGTGGTTTAGCACACTTGAGATCTTGTCGAAATGTGCCATTTTCTGCAAAATGGCTGTGGGAGACTGATTTGTAAATGGTCTGATGCAATAGGATAATGCCGTAGACAACTCGAGAAAGCAGCAATGTGGTAGAATATTGTCGTGTAAAGCTGAGAAAGTCAACTAAGGAAATATAGCGCATGACTGCACAAGTTAGAGAGCTATGGAGCGACGCTACCTTCATATAGTACAAGTGGCTAACTTCAAATTCAAAATATGTGCTTTTTGAGTTGTGAATTATGAGTTGTGGAGTTATAGTTCCTAACTCCAGAAATAATGTAGCTCGGCAGTGGTAATCTAAACCTAGAGTTACTGGCTGACACCTCGAAAAATCCTTGCCTGCCTAGACATACAGTAAATAAAACCCACAGGCATGATATATTGGTCAGGATCACTTTGTTTTGCTGGCATTTTGTCTTATCACTTGTCACACATTGACAACAAATCGAACCAACTCTAAAAGATGCCCTCTTTCACATCATGTGCCCCAGCTGTGTGTGCATTTGAATTAGCAGCCTGGCTTGAATATGGATGTGGCCGTAAGCGCTTGGAAAACAATTCTCTGATGGCTCTTTGCTCATGACTCTGTGGTCCACAGCCTGAACAGTTGTGAGATTACCGATTATTCATGCCACAATCTACCCGATGCCGATAACGATTTATAATGATGTCATAATATCAGTCGACCGAGTAAAGGTGGCGTCATTCATGTTGATTTTTTAACAATAATTTCCAACATAACTTGTTACTGCAACCAAAGATTGTTGAAACCAGTAATTGGCACATGTACATATTGCGTTAAAACACAACATGCAATTACTGCACATCAACATGCAATTACTGCACATCAATTTTAAAGTGCGTATTTTCTCAAACAATCAGTTTATACAATTGGAATAATGCAGTATAAATTATTCTACTGATGCCGATTGTCTACCAATAAGGCAAAAATCGGCCTGATGCCGATCCTGATTATCGGTCAATCACTACTACAGTATTTAGCCAAAACTTAAGTTTCAAAATATGATTGTGTTTACTTCAAGGTTGTTTGCATTTTATGAGTTCATGTTTTTCCTCATATGGTTTGATTTACATTATATGAAGGCATGCCTGGAATGTTGAAAAAAAAACATACTGCAGATTTTGATTTACCATTTCAGGTCTTCCAGTGATTAATTTTTTGTTGAAACAAACAAGTTGCTAGCTTGGGCCAATCCCATTGTCACTAAATGCCAAAAGCCACAAGTTTCAAGGAAGTGAAGGAAACATGCAATGTTTAATAGTATTGTTTTTATCGACCTTATGTTATAATACCATAATTTGTTTATAGACATTGTGTAGTATATATCATAAGCTGTCTTAAAATTTGCTACATTCCACAGGGCATTTTTTAAGAATCCGTCAGTGGGGGGGCCATCTACAAAAAGGGACCATACTATACCGAGTGTGGAGCAATGATAGATGGTTTGTTGGTAACAAAAAGTTTGGTGTGGTATCGAATTTAATGGTAGGGGGGGAGAGCAGGGCCGTAGGAAGCTCTTTTCGTTTGGGGGGGCTGAAAGCGAGGGCTTAGAGTCTCTGAAATGCCATTTCCTGGACTTTTTAGTATGTGGAAATTTAGAATTCAGTAGTACTAAATGGGCGAAGGCGTATTTAATTAACAATATATTGGATATGTTGCAGGAAAGTATGGGTAATATCTTCATTCTTTGCAGTTTGTCATGGATTAAATGATAAAGGTCTGCATGAATTTGAAAAATGAATGATTATTAGCAAATTATTGGGGGGCTGCAGCTCCCCAGCCCCCCCCCCCCTGCGGTTGCTACGGCCCTGGAGAGGGTTTGAGGTTTTCTCTCCCAGAAAATTTTTGTATTTTTCTACCCCTATGACTGCAATTCCCTGCATTTTCTGAAACAGATTTTTGGATATACAGCATTACATTATGCTGTAGATAGACTGAACCTTCAGTTAAGTACTTGCATAGTATGTATATGTAGATACCACAACTTGGCCGTCACTTAGGGAGCCAGCTTGATAAACTTAGAGTTCCCGACTCCCACGAAGCGCCACCATGGTTGGCACAGAGCGGAACAATTTTGCGTCTCTAAATCGTCGGAAATGGCATTTTCAAAGTCTTCTATATGTCTTTTGTTAGGCCCTTTCATTAATTCGTTCATTATGATTTGCGAGTCTATGATATCCGCAAGTCAGGATGGATTATTACGAGAAATGTTATAAAAATATCGATTACTGATATTTGATTATATGTATATATGATTTCAAATACTTCTAGTTTCGAAATCAAATTGTTTTTTTTTGGTGGGGGGCCAAAATTATCCCCCCCCTTATAAAACACTTGGTTGAGGGCCTGTTGCCCCCTGCGGTCACTAACTTGTCCAACAACTCAAATCTATAGGGTCTGGCCGAAATGCGATCCACTGCCTAGGAAATGTTTAAAATCTAATAAGGTATTTATTAAACATAAAAGACAGGACATAAGATTCACAAAGCAAATTTCAGTTACTAGAATATCAAACCTCCCTTCTAAATTCCATGTTTTGCTTATATTTTAGAGAAAAGGGACTTTGACTGGGGGGGGGCAAAATGGTTGAGTGGGGGGGCCACCATGGGGGCTGGGGGGGCTTTGGCCCCCCCCAGTTATATAGTTAAAAAATGCCCTGACATTCCACCCATTTTCACAAAAATGCAACCAACCAATTAACATAGTATTTTCAGTAGTCGCTTGTCCAGGGGCAGTGCTAGAGGGGGATGCTGCCGGGGGGGGGGGGAGCAAAACATGAATTGTATAGGACGAAAAACTGGTCAGCAAAACATGAATTGGATAGGAAGGAAGAAAAATAAAATATTGGAACTTGGGGATATTTATGGAAACCTTTAGGAAAAATTAAACGAGTAACTAACAATATGCATGTCAACCCAAAGATAATGGATTAAAATATGTCCAGAAATTTCTTTTATGTTCAGGCACAAACCACCCCACCACCCACTCTTCAAGAATTTTGGGAATAGGAATATTAAACAATTAGGAAAATATTAATTAATTAGGAAAATATGCAGTAGTGGAACGACTTGGAAACATTTCACTTACACCCACCCATTCAGATAGGGATAGCATCATAGATATCTAATTATATACACTAGATAGCGCATCGATCTCTTTAAGTAAAATTGAAGCCAAGAATATTCCAGCGGTTACCTCCATTTTAATAAATGGCGGCCATGTGGAGTTTCCCACTCGCTAATAAACGCTTAAAAAACAACAATAACTTTCATCATTTCAGCATTTTGAAAATGTATTTGGAATAGGTTTAACTTATTGTTTAAGTTCCCTGTTTAAAAAATAGAAAACATACGAATCTTCTCATTTCATAGGAATATCTGCAATCACGGCTTCAATTTTTGAATTGCAGAATAATTAGATGCACTATCTAGGCTAATGTATATAAGATATCTAGGGATAGCATGTGCTTGTATTGGGTGTGCATTCCTACGTTCAGCTAATCAACTTTTTTTTTCGTCAACCAAAATATAACTTAAAGATGTTTCATCATGTTTCCAAACGTTCTTTTACATATTGGCACCTGCATTATGGAACTCAATGCCGCCAGAATTAAGGCAGATAGATTGATTGATTGACATCTTTATTCAAAACACGAGATCCATTTCGGTAGACAGATTGGCTTTATTATAATGGGTCAGTCCCATTACAATTTTTTTGTCTATCATTCCCAGTAATTAACTCATTCACAGTTCAAAAATAGGCAATCCCATGCAGTTCCCATTTTATCCTTGAGGACCCTCTATAAAATAAGAGTAACTTCTAAGTGATTGTGCTGGTTGACGATGTCAATTTAGATGAGAATGAAAAGGCTTAATGAACTTGGAGGAAAATATCATGCACAATATTATAAATCAAAAACAACAGTGGTCGAAGAGCAGATTCTTGCTTCAGTCTCAACTTGTGCCCAGTCAGAGCTCATCAAAGGTTGAAAGATCCAAGCTAAGTTAAACCCCCTCCCCTTCCTGGAATGGTTCGTGCTTCGCATTCTGAAAATAGTCTGCAGACCAATTTGCCATAAATTAAAGTTGTAATGTTGTATGCTCGGATGTTTATAAACAGACTAGCTTGTCACATCCATATATGGGCAGTGATCTTATTTCAATCTTTATTGATTTCTTGCACACTGCTGCCGCTGAGAATATTCTGATGGCCAATAGATAGATGGAATGGCTTCATTATAAACAAACACATGTACAATACACAGTAATTTAGATTTACAATATATCACTTGGCTTGTGGAAAACGTCACGTGTGTTTCTAATAATTAGCTTATTATGGCAAAACTTTCGTTCAGTATCCCGTCATCAGTGCTAACACTGATGAATATCTTGAGCTGACGGATTGAAAACTTTAATTTGCCATAATTCGTTGTGTTTCCCGCAGCACGAGCCAATATATATGTAAGATAACTTTCGATCTTCATCACATAATTGCTCTAACAGCACAGATGTTACAACACAAACGGGCGATGCTGCGCACTGATAAGTGATAATGCATCCACTATTCCGAGTAAACGAAATGTAATGATACAAAAAATGAAGGCTTCTTTTTGAGACTGAAGAGAAAATGCAAAGATGACACTGGGCATTTTACTCAACACAATTTTACTGTGTACTGTAAATACAGTTTTTATGTTAACGGGAATATTTTTGAACTCAATAGTCATATTATGCTTCTGGAGGTCTGGTCAGCTACAAAATAAATTATGTTATTTTATGATTCTTGTTCTCGCGTGTTTTGACCTCGCTGTGGTTATAATCACACATCCTTTGATAATGTTGTCAACCATCTCATGGTGTATCAGAAAATATGAAATATTTCACACAATCAACTTGAACATATCTGCCTTATTTTACGGGTCATCCTTACTCACGTTGCTGACAATGAACGTCGAAAGATATATAGCGTTAACTTATCCGTACTTTCATCAACGATCTGTCACAAGAAGGCGACTCTTAGCCCTACTTTTTGTTCTCGAAGTACTAGGTTTAGTTCAACTTACTTTATCTTATCGAGATTTCGTGTTCCCTGCTCAGGTGGCGCCAGCTTGTTTTCTTGCGATCCTGTTTCTTCTATTGTTCTTCATAAACTACAAGATTTTTATTATAGCAAAACGAATACGAGAAGATGATAATCGTGTCACTGCTTCCCTAGGACCGGGCGAAAGAGACTATCCTGCTAACATCTGCGAACTAAAAAGTAAATTAACTTTGAAAAACATCTCTACGTGTCTTCTTGCTGCGCTATGTTTCTTCCTCTGCTGCTGCCCAGGTCTGCTGTATAACTGCATACTACTGGTCTCCAAATCCCGAGTAAGCTCCGACGTTGTTCTAGGTTGGGGCCTCTGGTCAAGCACACTGGTCAGCATGAACTCGACATTTAACTGTCTTATCTTTTTCTGGAAAAATACAACTTTACAAAATGAGGGAAAGAAGATATTGAAAGGAAGGAGTCATCATTTTATGAAACCAAACAAAGTTGTAGAACAAACAAACTGTACGGAGACGTTATGAAACTGAATTTTAATAATTTAGATTGATTTTTTTGGCAATCGTCCATAAAATATCTGCAAAGAAACATAAGTCAAGAATAAGCGGCTTCTTGTCGGTAAATTTTTCCGAGCTTCTACAGAAATACAGTATTACACAACACATTACAGTAACTGAATTGTGCAGGTATTTCCGTTTTGACTGCAAAACCCTGTATTGTTCAGGGTGATATTCAGTTGATATTTATTTATTAGAAATTAGTTTATTAGCATACAGTAGGTACACGTCTCCATTGAAGAGCACATATTTTAAAATTCATTCATGATTCAGCTGTAATGTATTAAAACCCTGTATTGTTCACGGTGGTATTCAGTTGATTAAAACGCTGTATTGTTCTATCCCCAACTGCAGTCAGCAGAAGGCGATTTGTTTGTTAGCATTATTTTTGATGGAATGTGCGTTGGCTAATTAATAAATTCACAATTGCTATCAGTTATATCTTAATGCACGATTTTGAACAAACATTTTTTCAGCAGCTACAGAAATACAGTATTACACGGCAAAAAATGCCGAGCCCGTTGCTCAACAGGACTGAACAATGTTTTGCTGCCCACGTTGTTCACACTTGTCAACAATATTGAACAATGATGTTGAGCCTGAATCGGGTGTAACAATATTGTTCAATATTGTTGACAGCTATGAACCATATCTACAGTATGCTGTGAACAATGTGGGCAGCAAAACATTGTTCAATCCTGTTTTCATCAGTACGCGTGTACACAACAAACTACACAAGCGGAAGTGCATGTGCAGGTATTTCCGTTTTGACTGTAATACAGCTGAATCATGAATGAATTTTAAAGTATGTGCTCTTCAATGCATGGAGACGTGTGCCTACTGTATGCTAATAAACTAATTTCTAATAAATATATATCAAAATATTTACAAGAGTTACAGACTACATATGCAAAGAAACTATAGTATAATACAATTATTAAGAAATTTTATTTAAACTCAGCGAGAGATCGAGCTCTGGCGAGTTCGACGAGTATGTCGTTCCATATGGTAACCCCTCTATAAGTAAAGCTTTTCTTTAAGGATTCAGTTAAAGGTCTTGGAACAAAATGTTTATGATTAGAGCGGCAAATTGTGTTCGCGTGTATCATAGAAGTTTCGTGTATCATATAGAGTAAATTTTCTTGACAAGTAACTAGGAACCATGTTATTACAGTTTTGTACATAAAAGTTTTAAAATGTTGATTGCGTCTGGTTTTAAGGCCTTTCAAGTTTGGTCCAATTCAATGATGTTAAGATATCTGAGGACCGAATGTTGTAATCAGATTCAGTAATAGTTCTTGCAGTCCTATTCTGTAAACGCTGTAGTTTTTGTCCAAGACCCTTGCCTAAACTATCCCAAACAATGCTACAATAATCAAAGTGTGGCTGTATTAAAGAGTTGTAAATCAAGACAAGAGTTGACTCTGGAAGTAATGGTATAGTCTTCGTAAAACTCCAATCAATTGAAAATGGAGGCATTACTTTTTAAAATGGAACTTGATTATTTTTTAAAATTGAGCATTATTTTTGAAAATGGTTTATTTGATGAAAATGCTGGCACTAATTTGCGAATTGTTGACTTTAATTTTGAAAACAATTAATGTCGTATAGTTTAGGATTTGAAATTGCGTCGTCGAATTTTCAAAATGGTAACTTTTTTATTCAGAGGAATACCTACCACCGGGGATTTATCCCTGCTCCCGAGGACTGAGACTGTAAATTCAAAATCGCGCTAAATTCAGAGACTGTAACTGCGGATGAATTAAAGAGATTAACTGTAGTCAAGCATGAACATATCCATTCTTCTTTGCAAAATAACAATTTAGAAGTGAATGAAATTCTTGAGGAATTAGAGCTTACATTCGAAGCATAATACATCTTTGGATCCTAAGGTATAAGAATAACTCAAGACATTTTTCGTGATTTACTAACCGCCAAAAGAATCTTAGAACAAAACATCACGAACCCCTAAGGCCCTAAGGTATTCACTGGAACAGCTGGACGTCCTTCCTATGATATATCTAAAGAGCAACTTGAAGCTCTTTTGGATGTTGGGTTTAATGTTGGTCAAATTGCTGAGATGTTACAATTACAAGTTGGAAAGCGAACAATCGAACGTCGTATTTCTCAATTCTTTGCTTGCACATGACGTCACTACGTGTCGTTAGGCGCCATCTTGGTTGATTTTAAAGTTTTGTCCAGCCATTTACATCGAAATAGTTGAGTTACTTTAATATTTTTGGTTTGTTTTGAAAACATCTTATTGTATTATTGATAGTTTACGATTTCTGGCACAATACGACAAAGAAAGAAGAATATAGATTTTTAGATGTTTTGAAAATCAACCAAGATGGCGTCGATTGCAAACGAGCAATTCGGTGTATTAGGGCGATCCTTTAGTGATATCTCCAATGACGACCTGGATTCTGTTGTTCGTGAAATCAAGTTGTTTTACCCAAACCTGGGCTTAAAATAACGAAGCAAGCACTGTTCTTGAAAGTTTTTTAAGTGATGTTCAAGAATGGGGTTCACCGTCCCGCGTTCGATGTGATAGGGGCGGAGAAAATGTTGATGTTGTTGAGTACATAATCAATAAACGAGGCACCGATAGAGGTTCTGCATTGGTTGGGAAAAGTGTGCACAAGCAGAGGATAGAACGGCTATGGAGAGATGTCTACATGGATGTGTTAGATTTGTTTTACGGTATTTTCGTGTCGATGGAAGATATTGGTTTACTTATATGGTGCTGGCACTGCTGCTTCTGCCATGTGATTAACACAAAACTGAAATCTTGGGCTTAATGCATGAATAAGACACCCTTTGAGCTCTGAGCAAAATAAAACCCCACTTCAACTCTGGGTTCAGGGGAATTTTGAGAATGCAGAAAGAGCTCTCCAGGATCATAGCATGGTTGGTGAAGATGATTATGGCGTAGATTGGGATGGTTAACAAGTAGACACTTTCACCGTTGTCTAATCATGCACAAGTGTTTAAACAATGACATCGATTTTAAATTTAATTTCAAGTTCTCCTCTGACATCCACAGCTACAACACTCGAAACAAACGGAATATACATTTGGAACGCGTCAAGAAGAACTGGGGGAAGCAGGCATTCAGCTACCATGCTGCCAACGACTGGAATAGTCTGCCTGTGGAAATCCGAAATATACACCAAATTAAAACTTTTAAAACTAAACTAAAGAAACATTTAGCTACATAACCATAGGACTCTCTACCGAACCGATAGGATGCGCAAGAACTTTATACGATATAACTTTTCATATGTTCACTTTTGTTAGTTTTATATTTTTATTCTTTTATTTTATTTTTTTTTTAATTTTTTTTTTATCAGGGCTCCACTGAAAATCACTTTCGTGACTAAATAATGACCCCCTGACTAAATATTGTAATTATGGTTCGGCAAATTCTGATGCTTATTATGAACAGGATGTTGAAGTTGCTGAAACCAACAGTCCTTTATCTCAACAACAGTTGGATCAACTTATGATGAGTTCCAGCAGAATTGCCCAATTAATCCTTCCCCCTTGGATTCTGTCAGAGGTTATCAATTCGTGAAAAACTTTACATTACAATGTATCAGAGGTGAAAATATCAATATTATTGTGTAAACACATTTCTTCAGCTACATATACATGTAAACACAATTTCAACAGCAGCAACTTGAAGAGACAATCTTGGCACAACGAAGCATAACTGACGGACCTAACCATGACAATGTGCTTTGACACAACTTAAACTTCGTATTTGTTCATCTAGCATTATTGTTAATGTTATATTAAAAGCAGTTCAAAAATTTCCAAGAATTTCATAGTCTAGTAAACAAAGGGTTCAACTCTGAATGAATGAAAGCATCATTCTTAATTAACAGAATATTAAAAACCAAGCATGCATGCGTGTTCATAACAGTTTAAACAACAGTTCATCCTGTAATAGTGGTAATGTACCAACTGTAATAGGCTACCTATATTGTTAAAGAGGATGGCAGAAATTAAAGCTTCCCAAATCCATGGCATTCCAGGAGTGCTTCCCTCAGGAATTTTGAGAATTCTACAGGATTTTCAAGTCCTCAAGACATGTTGATGCATAGGGACGGAGACGGCTATTTTCTTCAAAGTTGTAGAAATCAACCGTGATATTCTTACTGAATCCTAATGGCGGCAGACAATCAGCCCCAGTGATAAATACGAGAAGATGTTCAAGTGATAATCCGGTAATATCACCCTTTCCAAATCTTGCAGGAAAATTTCAAAGCAATAGATAGTACTATCCTCCTTGCTGCTTTGGTTGGACTCTTCTTCTGAGCGGTTGATCTTGTACAATGTCATGAATGATGATTTCGTTAAAGATGGATGTTGGTTACCCAAGGTCAAATCAAACAATTGCTTGTTTTGTAAAATCCTATCACCAAGCTGACCAATGGAATTTAATCCATTGAAGAATTGTGACACCTCTGCAAGGACTTCATAAACGAAATGTTGTTTCAACAATGACTCAATCATTTCACTTTCATTTGATAAATTGCAACGATAGATTTTTGGATAACCAGATTCTGCAATTTTTCCACCATGCTAGTTGACCAATGAAGTGAAGGTATCCTCGGATGAGCTATTCATGAATTCTTGCAACATGCTTTTCATTTCCACATCATTAACAGCATTGATACCATTTACAAAAGTAACCTGAACAGATTGCTGCAGATCATAATCAACTGATGATAAACAACGTGGGCCGCTTCCCCTATGCAGGATGCTCCAAGCAACAAGCTTCCCTGCTAATTCATAACGGCTGTTTGCAAGGAGACCAAGGTCATGTGAAAACCAAGATCCATGAAATATAGAGGATTCACTTATTTCACGCATCAACAACCGGAAGAATTCCCGAGTCGGACCTCCGTCATCGACTGCTTCTTCTCCAGCAAACGCAATAACAACCCCCTTGAAGAATGTAAATCTCTTTCTTCCTATCGCTCTCTGGGTCGAGGAAAACACTGACTTTCTGCTGACAGTTATGTTTGCATTTAAACTAGTTGATTCAGAAGTGGAAATGTTGGTTGACTGAAAGACATTCAACAATTCTTGTACACTTTGGCTCTCCTCTTTGGTATCTGTTTTTGATCAAACTCTCTTCGATTGCCACTTGACGTTGTGGGTCATCATTATACAATTACTTTATGGTTTCCGTGTTTGGATCAGGCCATCCTAACAGGGAAACCATAAAGTAATTGTTTTATAAAATAACAACAACACGATAG